TCAATGCTCATATTTTGAGTTAAGTTTGTCAAGTGTTTCATCAGTTTGTTTAAGCCATCTTGGCTACTCATTTTTAAAGAGATCAAGTGTTTGTTTATTTTAAAAAAGAGTTTACAAAGAGGAGAATCGAAATTTTATTTTTAAGGCGTTCAACCTCAATTCATCATCTACAACTCTTTGTTTTCATTGGATAAATTTTCTAAACTCATTTATCTAGCTTGCTCTTATTTTGATTCTCATATATATCTTTGCTAGATTTAATTGAGTTTAAGCTTGCTCTCATTTTGATTCTCATATATATCTTTGCTAGATTTAATTGAGTTTAACTTTCATTTACACACACAACTATATTAAGCTTTAGTATTACACATATTGTATTTATTGGGTTGTGGGTACATTTCATTGAGAGAGCTTAATTTTCGTTCTCATCATATTAGAGAACAAATCTTGTTTTTGTACTTTCATTGAGAGAACATGTTGTATTATACAAGGACATTTAGAGGAGTGGTTAGGAGAAGAACAAGGTCAATTCCAAGAGGAGTGGTTTGGTTGTAAAAGCCTAGGGAGAGATAATAATTCCAATCACTTGAGGAAGGTGACACGGGTCGGCCAACACTTAGAGAAGTGTATTGTGTGATTATCAATGTGTGAGTTGTAAAAGTTTTCGGTGAACTTTGGAAACCGAGTGTGTAGATTAGTTGTGATAGTGGAGTATCTCTTCGAGGTGAGGAGCAGAGATGTAGGTCGAGAGTTGACCGAACTCTGTGATCATTTCCTTTGTGTTAGCGATTGTCTTGGCGCACTATTAGCATTGTTATATCTTGTGCATGTTTATATCGCATATTGTGTTATATTATTTATCCTTGCATATATCTCAGTATACATCATATTGCTAGGATATTAGTTAGTTTTAATTTGGCATCCATATCGGATTAGATTAGCAATTACCCTATTCACCCCATCTAGGGTACTTTCACGGTGGTTCCTCCAACTGTCAAATTAGCAATAAGCTTGAGTGGAGGGAAAAGTATGATTATAGTGTGTTTATTTGTAAAAGATTGTTTACCCTTATGCATTGGACAATATCCCTATTTACATCAGATCCATGGGGCAATCGTGTAGCTTTGACCTAGTCTAAGTAGTCAGCTTAGTCGGTAGATACTTATAGGTATCGACTGCGAATGGTATGAGTCACCTATGCGATTAATGTGATGGTGACAATGGAAGCATGATCCTGACGGGGTCTGATGAGTTATTAGGACTTTTGACGCTGGAGTAATGATGATTTTGGCCACACATTCATTGTGATGGTGATTGAATGTCGGTTGGAAATTCGAGGACAAACTACCTCTTATCTCGGCCTTGTGAGAGTGTCGATAAATGACGCCTTTTTATTCGTCTACTTTGGTCTCGAAAGTTCTCGAACAAGTCTTGTAGAATGAAGATGTGTGGAGTCAATTCTAATAGCGGGATTCGAGTAAGCACACTTTTCGACTCGGCCCCCCGGGAAGGGTCGAGTGTTGACGTCATTCGAGTCGTCCTGCATAGGGCGATGCTGATCTGGTAGTTAGTTAATATGTGATACATGTCGACTCCTTGAGGAGAATTAACACTCAACCATTTCTGTGATTGTCACGCTCCGCTTCCCAAAATACCGGGGAATCGGGACGCGAGCAAGCCCGCGACGTATTAAACTGAGAAGAGATAAGTGCTAGACCTCGTCTTCTCAATCTAATACGCTTAGCGTCAAGAAATACAAATGAAGGCACAGGTCCCCGATCACAGTAGCGAGAATATAATAAACAACCCAAAATAGAAAAGTGACATATCACAAATAGAATATCATCCTAGACACAAAGTTTGGGTCAAACATGCCCTTATTACAAAACAGTTCAACTAGAATAAGAAAATACATAGTCTGACAAAAAAAGAAGGTAGTACTGCAAATTAACTAAGCTCGTCGAAAGACTAAAGGATAAGGTACTACATAAGTAAAATGGAGGACCAATAACTAAGCTTCGGCTTCTACGTAAAAGATAACTAAGCTTCCGTCTGTTCTTCTGTTCCACCTGGAAGACACTCCGGCTGGGCATACTCCTGCTCTAATGCATCATCATACTGGACCTGTCCGTCCTCTAAATCTGACGTACACCAGAGAAAACAGGTGTACGTCAGCGCACATAACGTACGGCAAGATCCCACAAGGAAAGTAGAAACGGTCGTACGACCAATGCAAGAACAATAATAATAACAATAGTAATAATCTAAATGAAATCCACCACTAGAATATAATAATCAGAAGAATCCAAAACCAATCGGGTAACGAGGTCATGTAGCTAATGATCAGACTAATCATCCAAGTAACGAGATCATACTACTAGCCATTGTATAACAGGTCACTGGTCACATCTCACACAGAGTGAACGCTCCTGTCATCGGATAACTGACTGTTCACAAATCCTCTACGTGCATCTAATCCCGCTACACATGCGGCCTAGAGGACTGCACGCAATCCATTTCTACCTGGTCTGAACTTCAAACAGAACTCGGGTGACGAAATAAATTTCCCACTGACCAAAGTGATGTACACACTTCACTTTAGCCCTACAAACCAACCCCGGTGGCGACACCAACCACGGGAGCGAGCCTGGAAGATACATCAACAGCCTTATCCGATCACATGAACATTAACTTCCCCATCCCAACTCTCTTGTCTTTCTAAGTTAACATATACACAGGTTTCTAAGTCTTAAACAGGACACACCAGGCCACACTAGTCATGAATTTCTAACGGTTCTCATGCATAACAAAAAGTAATAAACACAACTAATCATATACAGCAATATCATAACATATCACATAATTAAAATTAAGAAACATAAATTATGAAAAATTCATAATAATCTCTTTTCTAAAATAACTCTTTTAAAAGATATTTATAAATGTTCTAAATAATTCCTTTTATAAAATAAATCCTAAAAAATATTTATAAATATTCTAAATAATTTCTTTTATAAAACTTTCTTAAATTACTGAAATTATTCTAAATTGATACTTATAAATTCTTTTAAATTATTAAATTATTTA